AAAGCTCCTTCCCTGGCAACCCACAAGAGAAAACACGTCCTCCACAAGAAGACACTGTTTAGTAAGAGATGATTTTACTCTTTCAGAAAACTCCTCTGAGTTCTAAAGCACACTGTAAATAGGAAACAAATCACGTCAAACCATGTGGAAGGCCTAAATAAATAAAAATGGAATAATGTAAAAGTCTTATGAATGTGTTTTATATGGGACAAAGAAAATGATGGGGCAATAGAAAAGAGACTTCAAGAAGTTGGATGAAACCAAACCAAGGTCAGGAAACAAACAACTCACACTCAGGCATAAACCCCAGGCCGAGCTGAGCCCACAGGTCAGGTGTCCAGAGCCCAGAGGAGTGTGTGGGATCAGAACCTCTAAGCATGTGCATCTCCTCCAGGGCATGCAGGAGGGAAACCAGGCCTGGAGAGGAAGGTCAAAGTGGAAGGGGAGGAGAACACAGAGAGAGATTACCGGGTCTTCAAGGCCTAACAACAACTGTGTATTGGGAAAACAATTTTGTTCAAGAGGGCTATTTATAGGGATGTTTTCCCTCAGCACTCCCTTCCCCCGTCTCTCCCTTTTGTGTTTAAAGGCGCCTGGCATTGGTAAAGGGTTACAGGCAGTGGACAGGAAACTATGGAACACAATGCACGGGGCGGAGACAGATCCCCACCCTCCTCAGAAATCAACCGCTCCAGGATTCAGACGCCCTGAAAGGAGACAGACGGACCGCAGGACGTCAGTTCCTCTCCGCCTATGGTTGGTCAAGCTAGAAAAAAGGTGATGTGCCCACAGCGGGCTTGGGACCAAATAAAAGGGGATACAGAGGCACAATGAGGGAGGCAACAGGAATCGAACCAAGATTCTTGAAGTCAGTCAAGTAGGCTTGTCGGTCTCTATGCTGAGGATGTCTACATTCTGGGAGGTGTGAACGTTTCTCTACTTAAAGACCCTCTAGTTTGAGAACAAAGGCACTTAGGACAAGAGAAATCCTCTCAAACCCAGCTGCTGAGAGGGACCATGGACCCACTCTTATGTTCTCAGGGCGGATCCTGCCCGGCCCCTGGAGGTTGCAGCCTGTGGGAACAGCCCCAACAGAGGCTTCAAGCCAAACGGATCCAAATTCAGGCATAGGGCCTGAGGCTGAACGCTGAGCAGATTCAGATGTGGGTATAATAGTAATCCAACCGAGGGCACTTGGCTCTTTCCCTGGCCTTGTGAAGTCCCTTCTCCACATGTAGCTCCAGGAAGGAAGCGTCCAGCTGCTGTTGGCAGATCCAGGGCCTGTGAGGTAGCGGGACAAGGGGGTCTTGTGTTGTCTGGCTTGATCATTGCTTCTGAAATCCTAGAGTCCTTTAATGCATATGGGTCAAATGTCATTATGGTTTTTTTTTAAACACTCAATAAAACATAAGAGATCTCTTTTTTCCAACAATACAGTATTCAGTACAAAGAAATTAGAGTGTAACTAAAATATTGGTGGGGGGATTTCTTCTCTCAAATAATTTCAAATACTATATGTGGATGTCTCATCTCCAGTTTCTACTCAATCCTGTATTTTATACTATCTCAGAATATCTCCTCCTATTTTGTGCTCTCATATGGCCCTCAATGTGTAGAAAAGTATATATTGTCTTTCTCAAAAAAATAGTTTTTACACTTGCTATCCTGCAGAACTGAGTTGTATTCTGAGATTTGGATATGAGATTATATATCAGTCTCTCTCTCTCCTCCCTGTTACTCTCTATCACTGGCCAGTGCAATTTTGCAACTTCAGTAACTGAAAAGGAATTAATAGACAGACAGACAGATAGGAAGAATTATATAATGGCTAAGTCTATTCTTCAGCATTTAGCCTGAGAGTGGCTATTTGAAGTCGGCTTCTCAATTCATTTTTTGTTTGTTTGTTGAGACAGGATCTCTCTAAGTAGTCCTGGTCAGCTTCAAACATCCTATGTAGCCCAAATTGGCCTTGAACTCTTAATCCTGTTACTTTAGCCTCCTGGGTGCTGGCATTACAGACCTGAGCCATCATCCCTACCCCTATTCTTAGCAGCTGCTCTTGAAGCCCTTTTAGAAACAACATTGGTTTTCGTAGCTGCAGAGATGGTAGAGAAATGGGGTTTTAGGGTGGGAGACTGACCCTGGTTTGAATTCCTTCCTTCATATCATGTGGACCTCCCTTCACTCAGTTGTACTGGAGGAGGGATTTATGTAGCCATCTCTAACTGCTCCAGCCCCTAAGAAATCTTACTCAATTTCATATAAACATTTAGAAGCAAACATTTGCAACAAAAAGTTTTGCAGTTTTTGACCTAAATCAAGAAACCCATACACAGAGAATTGCAGTACTGGAGCTTGGAATACATAACCTTTTAGAAGTCCCCACTCCGGTCACCCTCATCCTCTCCTGTCCTCAGAACAGAGGTGAGGTGGGCCTGCCTCACAGAAGAGCCTCAGCTCCCAATCAGCCTCAACACAGGGGACCATAAGAACTCCTTTCAAGTGGAGAAGCTGAGGTATAGCAGTTATGGAGAGGAAGTGGGGAAGGAAGCATACTCAGCCAGAAAATGAGCTACCGCTCTGGTGCCCTGGCATATGGAATTTGAACATGCTCATCACAGCCGCTGGGCAGAAAGTCCCATAAGAGCATTAAATTAGTTGCTTTAAAAAGGAGGGGAAATGCTGAAATTGCTGATAGCTAAGTTTGGTTTTTATGAACAAATGGACAAAAGAAAAGCTTAGATCACAGCTGATGCTAAAACCTCCCAGTTCTGCTCTCTACAGCAGAGAAGACAACTAAGCATTCTCGGTGAGGAAGGAAGCAGATGGTACACTTCCATAGGTATCAGTCCTTAGCAGGCACAGATAAGCAGGATTGTATGCAACACAAACCCTTTCCATGGTATCTCCTATAAGGAAAGTGCTTTTGGCCTAATTTATATCGTCACCAAATACCTTGTTTACCACTTGAGTAAACACTCTTCCACTATTTCTATATAACCTTGCATCCTAGGAAATTGGCAGCTCACAGAATGCCTAGAAATTGCTGTCATAGTACTAGGAAACGGAGTCACCAAAGGATGTTTGTGTGTTTGTGTTTGTTGTGAGACAGGGTCTCACCATGTGGTTTTGAACTCAATATGTGGCCCAGGCTGGCCTCAAACTCGTGGCAATCTTTCTGCCTAAGCCTCACAAGTGCTGGGATTGTAGGTGTGTGCCACCGTGCCTGTCTCACTGAAGGATTTGAGTGGCTGGGCACAGTGCAGCTACACTTCAGAAAGATGCCTCTGTCCTCTTATGCGCAGAACAGCTGAACTGGGAGGAGACTGCCCTCAGCCAGTCCCACTGCAAATTACTCTAATAACTGAGGACTAGATAACCTTTTCCACCGGGCCTGGAAAAAAAGAGCCCCAGCTGAGGGACATTGTGAAGGACTCATCATTTGGGTGGGATAAGTTTGGAGATGGGGGAGGTTTGGGTAGTGCTGGTGTCAGTGAGACTACATAGAAATCTTAGGAATTGGGGAGCAAATCAACTGGGGTGGGTTCAGGGGCCACCTAGGTACAAAGCAGGAAAGACAGGCAGTGGAGGCCCCCAAACAGAAAGGTTCATCTCAAAGGGGGTACCCCCAAGGGGCCATGCTGACTCTGCATCAGAGGCCCTTACTATGTGGGAAGGCGCTCTGGGTATAATCTTCCCTTTTTTGGAAGAGAAGATGGAATTCCTTATATAAAAATCTCTTGACTCTAATGTTGGCTACTGATTTTTTAAAATATTAAACCGCCGGGAATGTAGCTCAGTGGCATGAGAACCTGCCTGGCAAGCATGAAGTCCTGAGTTCAATCTCTGGTGTCAAAAAAAAATAAAAACATAAATATAAATAAATACAATAAAATACAATAAACCACAGTGTGTGCCAAACCATTTAAACACATCCATGTGCCAGATTTGATCTGCATGTGACCTGACATGCAGAAAGGCCAAGGTCAAAGTTCATAAGCTGTCATGGCAACACATAGGCAACTATGAAGGGATTCAGTAACTAAAATACAGTACATAAAGCTTTTGCCAGCAATCTGAGCTGTATATATATATCCCTACGCTGCAAGCCTATATATGGATTTGATTTTATGCAGGAAGTTTAATCTAATCCTCAAATGGTTAAATCACAAGAATTTGAGTGCTCACTGTGTGCTGAGTACACAGAAGTCAAGGAATTTCAAATTTAACTGAAGAAGGAAAAACAAGCCCTCCTGAAACAACTTGGGACAAGTTGTGAAACAATCCGGAGACTGCCTTCTGCACGTTATACTGAACTATGGAGGCTTCTTAAATCTACCCCACCCATACCACTTATGTTTGCAGTGATGCTCGGTGCCTCTGCGCGCATGTGTGTGCTCCGGGACCTGTAACTAGCCATCTGAGTCGGTAGCCGCGGGTGGGAGGGGAGCACAATGGGAGTGGCCAGCGTGAACCCCTGGCCCACGGCTGGCAGGTTCCTCTGCCGGGGTCCCCGTCTGTCTTGTCTTTGTTTTTGCTCTGACTCTAAGCGTTTGTGGAGGGAAAAGGCAGGCACTGAAATAAAAAGTGGCGGAGATGGGCTGACGCTGGTATAAGCCGCGGGCCGGCCTGGGGGCGCCCTCCGCCCCTCCCCGGGGAGCGCCGGGCACCTCCTCCCCGGGGCGGCTCCGAGGCCAGGCTGCGGGGCCCGAGGCCGCGCGTGCTGCGGGTCCCGGGGGAGCGGAGCGCGGCCACTTCCTCCGGGCCGGCCCCGGAGAGCTCGGGAGCGGCGACCGGCCTGGGAGGGCACGTCCTCGCCCCCACCCCCGCACCGTCCACCCACCCACCTACTTCCTCCGCCCGGCGCGCACACAGGCGCGGAGCTGCCTGAACTCTCCACCCCCGCCCCCTCCCGGCTAACTTCCTTCCAGCGCTTCCTGAGCGGGATGAGCCTAGGATTTGCAAGACAGGAAAAAAGGAGGCGCGAGCGCGGGCGGGGAGACGGGATGCTGGCTGCGCGCTCTCCCGGAGCCGTCTGAAGGCCACACCGCGGGCCCAGGGCCGAGCACCCCGCGCGGCCCGGGGCTGAGTGCGCCCCCTCGCCGCGCCGCCCGCGCGCCTCCGGGCACCGAGCAGCCTTCGCCTCCGTGCCGAGCGAGCGGCGGGGAGCGGCGCCCGGAGACACCGCGGGGGGCCGGGAGAGTCCCGGGACGGCCGGGAGGAAGTGACACGCCCTCGCCAGCCAGCAGCCGGCCAGCGGCCAGCGCTGCCAGCTCCGCCGGGCGCCCCGGACCCGTGCGCAGCGCCCCGCGCCCTCGCCTATGCGGACCCCGGCGCCGCGCCGCAGCCCCTGATCCACCCGCGCCCGAGCGCGCGCGGAGCCGAGCAGAGGGAGGGGCACCGAGGCAGCCTCTGCGGGACTAACTCATGAAGAACAAGGGTGCCAAGCAGAAGGTGAAACGCAAGGGAGCCGCCAGCGCGTTTGGCTGCGACCTGACCGAGTATCTGGAGAGCTCAGGACAGGATGGTAAAGTGCCTCCTCTCATCCCAACCCCCTTTTGTTGGACAGAGCGGTGGATTCTCTTGGGGTGTGTTGGATTCAGTTCACGAGTTAATGTATTCCAGGCTTGTGCGTTCCCTGTACTTTGTTTTTCTTTTCGTATGTCTTTTTTTTAGGGAACATATTTGATTCTTCGATGCACAGAGCTGCCACCCCGACGTGCACGGGTTGTGAAGGTCATTCTGTGCTCCTTAGCCGAGCCGTTAACAGGCAGGCGGTGTTCTTTAAATGTAACTGAACATCTCGGGTGTGTGGGAGTGTGAGCCGAAGAAGGAGCCTGAACTGTGGATGTCGGAAGGGAGCGATGGGGGTGGACGTGTGGGACGGTGGTCAGTGGGCTTCCCGGGTGTACAGTTGCGACCACTTTAGCTGTCCCTCCTGGACTCTCCGATTTCATCCACTCATGGCGTGTTTTTATTAATGTGCTAGAAGGCGGTGGGGTGAGGTGGGGTGGGGGTAGGGATCCTGGCTGGGGGAGTGGTTGTACAAACATTTTCCGAATTTCTGAGCAGATGCCAAATATAAGTACCCCCTCCTTCCTCCAGACCCTTTACCCTGTCTTGGCGTTCAGCATCGCATTTGGTGTGGTAGGCAAAAGACGCGTTGTAAAAAGGTCAAAGGGCCTGGATTTTAAAATAGTTGAGGGTATGTCACAGGGAAGGAGGGTGTCTCAGTTTTCAAGGTCAGATTGAAAAAACTGGGGGAGGGCAGAGGAGAGACAATTTAAACATTTGTCGGGGGTAGGGAAAAAGAAAACAATCTAGAATACAATAATGGCATTTGAGATTAGAAGTTTTTAATCATAGGAAAGTTGAGAAAATTGAGCATTAAATGCCTCCTTTTGTAAGGTTGACTGGCTCTGCACTTACTTATACAAAAAGGCCTTGTCTTTGGAAGCTTCAGTGAGAGAGAAAAAAGCCCACTATATGAGCTGTGTGTTTATACATAGATAGATACAACAAAGGCAAAACTTAAGGGCTGTGTAACTATGCAGAATAATTCTGCCTCCAGGAAAATAATCTCAAAAACCATTCCGTTTGTGCATATCCAATACACATCTTTAAAACAGTGCAGGGTTTTTGTTTCACTTCCTTTTTTTTTGGAGACTCAGCACCCCCAGTAATTTGCAGTGGTGTGATATTCCTGTGGTATTCAAGAGTTCAGTCTGCTGTGTCATTAGGACAAATGGCTTGGTATTTTAGAGCTTGGGGAACCACGGTTTCCAAAACTGCCTCTTTTGAAATTGAGGCATAACAGTCAATTTATTTCCTTCTCGCCAACAATCTGGAGAGGGTGATTTGGAAGAAAAAAATTCCTTGGATTGAGTTTTTTGTTTTTAATATGAAGGAGCTCCAAGTATATATTTTAATCACTATGGTCAGACATTTAGTATGAAATGTTCCCCTCCGCCTGGTTTTGCAAGGGCCTTCAGGTTGACCTCTAGGTATACTAAGACTTATGCTCCTAGCAAGCTACCTTCCACATGTGGGTATTATTCTCGGCCTTCCCTCCAAGGCTGTGAGAGCTACATAGGGGCGCTTGCAAGCTCTACCACATTCTTACAAAGTCATACATCATATGATGATCTAAGCCTGGAAGTTCTGTGATGATTCCTTGGAAGCGCCCTGAGGCAACTGTCCTATCTGCTTTGTACATTAGGCATCTGCATGTTTCATTTAGAGAAACAAGGAAGGGAAAAAATGGAAAATTGATACCCAGGGCTTTCCACTATGGAAGGAGGAAAGGAAACCCAGAGAAGCAAATGGACCTACCAAAGAACATACCAATTCATACCAATTCATGAAAGATGCAGAAGCCCCGACCTGTTAGGTCCCTGTTCCTTGCCTTCATATCTAAGCCATATTCTTTGCAAATGATCTCCCCCTCCAAATTGAAAGCATACTGCCCTGTCACGGAATCAGAGAATGTTCAAGGCTGAACATACCTGAATAGAATTCAACTTTGGAGGAAAGGCTGCTGACATACATAATGACACACATACCTAATAGTGGAAATTACATGGAAATTAAAGTGGGCATGATAAGCAGCTCATGTAAATGGGAGTGATTAGGATTTCTCCCCTTCCCACACAACTAAAACAAATTAGCTAATTTTCTCTTATTATAGTGTAGTTGTGATAAAGTACATGCTGTTGGTTTCCTCTAAATATAGCCTCCATGGACTTTATAGACAAGACCTGGACTCTACTCTCAGCTTAGAATACTGTGGGTGACAAATCAGGGAGGGAGCCAGTGGCCAGGAGGCTGGCTGGGGTCTCTCAAGACTTACATCATAGTCGCTGAACTTTGTGGGTCAAGGGCAGGGCACTGGACCCGGTAGAAATGGAAAAAAATGGATGCAAGTTTGGGAGTACAAGGGAAGATCAGAGATGCAGAGAAACAAAGAGGGCCCCTGTGCTTGCACAGAGGAAGAAAGCCCACAGTGGAGTGGAGGACAACGCTGGTGACAGTCTGCTGTGCTCAGGCCAGCCGAGTGAGGGGAGGCTTGAGCAGGAACTCTGTGAGTGCAAAGAACCAACATCAGCTACTTCCCTAATCCAGTGAGGTCTAGCAGTTGGACAAACCTGACCCAAGAGGTGTTCAGTTTAAAGTGGGTATTGCTCAGTTACAACTCTTTACACACACACACGCACACACACACACACACACACACACACACACACACACACACAGACCCTTGTGTACAATCTCTGCCAGTACACAAAGGTGCTAGTTTCAGATTCTGTTCTGGTCATCCCCAGCCACATAAAGACCTCATGTGAAGAGACACTTTCTCCCTTCCTCCTCCTCCTCTCTTTGTTTTTGCAGTACTGGGGCTCAAACCCAGGACCTCATGCATGCTAGCTAAGACTCTATCGCTGAACTACATCCCCAGCCAAGTTCCCCTCACTTTTGACTACTTTTCTCCAGCCTGGTGTGCATACTGTACGAAGTGGCTTCTGACAAAACCCACCAGTCTCTTTCACTTCCTTCTACTAAACCGCTGTTGTGCACCCCCCATCTCCACCCCCATCCCCAGTTCTCCCCTGGGAACCCCAGCTCTCTTCCTGTCTGGAGCAGACAGGGAAGGTCACCCCTTCCTTACTGCTGATACCAAAAAAAGGAGGGATCATTTTCTTTTTTTCTTCTTTTTGTCCACTTACTATGAAGGCCTATGCTTGCAGCTGAGTAATAAAAACCACATTATGTTGTTGCCTCGGTCGGAGGGTGTGAGTGAAGCCTGTGAGGTCAGAGTGCATCTGTAGTCATTTACTACCTCCCCGGGATGAGCCACATGTCTCCCAACAGAGCTCAGACATGCTGGGGCCTGGGGCCAGGGACTAGCTAAAGGAGTTCTGTGAAAAACTGTCTTCTTCTATATTGGCCTTACTCTCAAGGCTAAGGACTTTCTCACCCTTTTGAGCCATCCTGGTTCCTTTTACCTACTCGCTGGTACAAAGACACATTCTCTGACTTAGTGACTCTCTGTGATGGTGACACAGTACAGTCACTTGAGGAACTTTATGAAAAATGTTGATACCCACACCTGTCCTGAGACCAATCAAATTAGCATCTCCTGAGATAGCTTTGATGTGGAGGTAGGGTTTGGAGACCCCTTCCACCTGCTAAGAAGCCATGGCCATCCTGAGTGCATCCTCTCGAGTGGTAGGAACTGTGTGCGAGAGTTTATTTCTGAAGATTTGCTTTCATTTTTACCAGGCAGAAACAAATGTCTATTAATATGTATATGATATTAATATATTTGTAGTACATATATATGCTATTTACTTAGTGTATGTGTTTGAGTTGAAGGATGGTAGAAAATTCATAACAAATAAACAGTCAGTACAAATACAGTACCAAGCTTTGTGGGAATAAGCCTGAGCATTTCAAAGGACCTCAATAAACCAGTAAGTCTTTTAGATGGGGCCATACTTTGTTTCTGAGGCTAAATGACGCCTTTGCTTTATTTATTCACTTATTTAGCAAATATTTACTAAGCTACTGTGCTGAGTGCTGCGGGAAAGAAAAAAGATGGGTTTCAGCTTTTAGAAATTTACAGGCTAAGAAATGTGAACAGACTTTCAGAAACCAGCAGCTCGGTTATCTTTGAAGTTAGCTGTCACGACTGATGGAAAAGCTGGAGGAGAAAATGCAAAGGCTTTGATCTCTGGTGAGACAGACTAGACAGTCATATAAACAGGAGCAGAGCCCCAGCAAAGAAGGTAAATATTTTCCCGTTGGAGATAAGTCTTAACACTGAATGGGGAGCAGGGCACAGTATTCTCTCCAGCCAGCTGGGGAACTCCTCACCAGCGTTTTGCCTGGCTCATCATTACCACAGCTCTCTGGCTAATTGCTCCTTCTCTGGTCTCAGTTTCAGACAGTTCTGGAGATCTTCCCTGATTTCTCAAGTCAAGCGTCTCAGTTGGGGGCACCCTCTTCCCTGGGAAACTCACTGCCTGAGATAGCGGATTGTTCCCAGCTGAGTGTCTCTGACACAAGTTAATGACCTGATCTAGGCTTCTATTTCCTGACTTGTGAAATGGGAATAATAATGTTGATGCAAAACTAAATGACTTAGTGCAGGTACGGCACTTGGCAGAGAGTGAGCTCAGGGGAAGCTATTTGTGCAGGGTCTCCCTGCCCCAGCCTTGCATAGCTCCTAAGACCCAGTGAGGCGCCGATGAAAAGGAAATGATGTGGCTGGATGGGCGCTGACCTCACCTCGAGTGGGTGAGTGGGCACTAACTCCAGACCTAACCCTCACCTCACCCTCATCCTCACTCTCACCGTCCTAGTGACCGTCACCTGGCCTCTCCATTCAGTGTGTCAGGCAGTCCCGCTTCCCATCACTCTGGGCAGTGGGTCGGCACCCATCTAACCGAGTCAGCTGCTCATTGTGTGGGAGCCTCCCTCGGTCTTGGTGGCCTGTGCCAGACCAGGGCCTGGGTGCCAGGGACGAAT